TGTGAGTTCAAGGCCAGCCTGGTCTACATAGTGAGTTCCAGGACAGCTGGGGCTACAGGGAGACCCTGTCTCAAAAAAGACAAAAATAATAATAATAATTCAGCAACATTAAAAAAAATAAATAAATAAAAAAAATAAAACCCCACAAAACAACAACAAAAATTTGTGTGTAAGTAGGGCCTGATGGCAAATGCTATCAATCCCAACACTCTGGGAGGAGAGGTGGGCAGATCTTTGTGTAAATTCAAGGCCAGTCTGGTCTCTGTAGTGAGACCTCTAGCTGGGGCTAGAGGGAGACTCTGTCTCAAAAAGACCCCACCCCCCAAAATTATGTGTATGCACATCATGAAAGCACACCACCTGTACGCAGTGCCTGGGGAGGGCAGAAGAGGGTACTGGATCCCTGAGAACTGGAGTTATGGACAAATGTTAACTGCAATGTGGGTGCTGGTAACCCAGAGTCCTCTCCAAGAGCAGAAGGTGCTCTTAACCACTGAGCCACCTCTCCAGCCCCCTCCCCATACTGTTTTTCCTTTTCTACTATTATATTAAAATTTGAGGGGCTATGGGGTGCAGCTCATTGGTAGACCACTTAGTATGCATGAGGCTTTGGTTCATCCTCCAGCACCTCCCACCCCCTGCAAGCTTCCTGCATATTCAAGTTCAATCAAGATTTTACTTAGGTGGGCATGGTGGCTCATAGGTGTAATTCCAGCATACTTGGGAGGAACAGGAAGATTCAGAGTTCAAAGCCAATTTGGGGTACATGTTGGAAAGTTAAGTTTTTGGAGCTTTATGTCAGTATCCAAAGTATTTTGCTATGCAGATACTGACACCACCCTTCCACCTCCATCTTCTCAGTACTGGGGCTGGCTACAGGTATGCACCAACAACATCCAGACTTTCTACACCGGCTAATACTCGACAGTCTCTTAGTGTCATAATTAATACTGAAGAAACTGCTCAGCAGAGGAGGATGTTGGCTGATCTACTTCGAATTTCAAATATACTAGTGATTTCTGCTAACTACAACAGGGTGATACTGCACACAAATCTAGGAAAACCAGGTTCAAAAAGCAAATGACCCAAATCTGGCTTAAAAATTATTTAATGTACCAGAACCAGGAGTTCCCAACCTTTACAAATGTGCTGGGGCACATTCATGGCTATAACAGAACACATGTGGCCCATAG